GAAACCTCTATTAACGGGCACTTCTATGTTTCTATATATACCATGTTCATTCATTTCATAGTTATTACCCTGGGACATTTGAAGAACTCCAATATCCTGATTTGGAGTCTTCACATTAGTATGTTCTATATGCAATTTATTTCAAAAAATGCTAAATCGGGTATTGTAGAATGTAAATGTTCCCAGACCTGGCAGCTTGTGGATAAGAAAGGATTCACATTGACATTTACAACCAGACTTGCTGGCTCTTTGCCTCCATCTGCCATGCAGGCCTTCAGTCCCATGCAAAGTCCTGTCTACCTAAATGTTTCTGAGACTCTCTAAGGGAGTCTTATATCAGCATGGCTGTGCTCCCCCACGGTCTCTGAGCTGCTGGGCTAGGCCAGTACTGTTTGGACTTAGTGTGTTGTCCATCTTCTTGAATTTTCAAGCTACAAAGTTCTTGAAACTTTGAAACTCTTGAGCAGTGGTGGGTTGAAGTATCATGGAGTTCCCTTTGGCCTCCACAGCACTGGACGTCACTCAAATTCCACTCCATGTTGCATGGAGGGAGATGGATGAAGTTCTTCTTGTAACCACTCAGGCCTATGGCAGTAGTTCTTAAAGTGCAGTCCCAGGACCAGTAGCATTAGCACCAGCTGGGGACTTCGGAGAGGGGCAAATTCTCAGGTCTCACCCCAGATCTACTGACTGACTGAGTAATGTGGGAGTTGAAACCTAACAATCTGTCCTTTAATGTGAAATGGGTAATTTTTTAAAATGTTTATTTTTGACAGAGAGAGAGAGAGGGGGCACAGAGAAGGGGCAGAGAGAGGAGGAGACACAGAATCCAAAGCAGGCTCCCAGGCTCTGAGCTGTCAGCACAGAGCTCCAAGTGGGGCTTGAATTTACAAACCACGAGATCATGACCTGAGCAGAATTCGGACGCTTCACTGACTGAGCCACTCAGGCGCCCCTAAAATGGGTGATTTTAATGAAAGTAAAGCTTGAGAACCAGTGGCAGAGGACATTGGATATGGGCCAACCATTTTATCTTGGCTTCCCCCTCTTCTCCCCAAAGTAGTGGTCTGTGTGAAAGGATGGCCACAATTAAATCTCCCATCCCTGTATGCACCCCCTTTGCAACGACATTGCAGCTCTTGTGTCAAGAGGTGGTCCACCTCTTCACCCCCTGAATCTGAGCTGGCCTCACAATGTGCTCTGACAAAAGAATGGAGCAGAAGTGATGTTGTATGAGTTCCAGAGTCTAGGCAGCAAGAGATCTTTTGGTTTCCACACTGGCCCTCTTGAAACACTGGCCTGAAAATGCCATATAATGAAGCCCTGTCCAGCCTGCTGGAGGAGGAGAGGCCTTAGTGAAGAACCAAGGCTCTCTAGTCAACAGTCACTAACAGATATATGCGAGAGTCCATTTTTGACCATCTAGCTTCTGTTGAGATGCTACAGAAAGGCATGCATGGGAACGGCCCCTACCAAGACCTTCAGAATAACTATCCAGCTCAGCACAGCCCAAACTGCAGACCCACAGAATCAGGAGCAAGTAAATACCTTCAGTTTTAAGCCATTACCTTTGTGGCAGGTTTAGGTAGAGATAGGTAACTGATATACTCAAGTATCCAAGCCTAAATAGTGTCAGCAAAAAAAAATTCTTCTCCAGCATGCCTATTTATCCTGTAAATTGAAACAATTTATATGGCTCAGGGAGGACCACCTCATCATATTATATAATTTAAGTAGGCTGCCGGGAGAGAGCTTAGTTTAGTATTTTTTTTTTAATGCCCTTTGGGCCTCAGTTTCCACATATATCAAAAACACTGAGGCAGATGAAAATTTCAATGATTATTCCAGGTTCAGAGTTCTGTAGTTCTAAGAAATTCAAGTAGAATAAACTGATTTCTTCTACTCCCTAAGTAGAAAAAACACAGAAACATATCTCACTTTTATTCCTCATACATCCAAGATTGAGTTAAATAACGTTAACTACCGGCTAGCTGCTTCCATATCTAGAATTTCCATTAGCTTCTTGGATGGAGAGATAGCACAGGCACAGCAAAAAAACCCAAAACACAACACAACACAACACAACAAAACAAAACACAGGCTTTGGAGCCTGACATACTTGGATTGGAATCCTGGCTCTGTTTCTTCCCAGCTGTGTGGTCTTAATTTAGCTCTTTCCCTCTCTAAGCTTTGGGACACTCACCTTATAAAAATTATGGATACACATATTTGGCGATTATTTTGAGGATAAAGACATATATGTAAAGGTGAGTACCACAACAATAAGAGTGCAATGGAAAAAACTTACTATGATGAATCACGTTGTGTTACAGCACAGCACATGAGATAATAATCATAAATAGGAAGCATACTACAAATTAGATTTTCCTGTTTTATATTCTGTTTATTCCAGATTAACTTTCTGGAAGTCAGGAATATAAACAATTCTTAATTCTAACGTAGAGAACACCACATTAAAGAAAGAAGAACACTTTCTTTGAATAAGAGCAGCTCTGGATCTACCAGCCTCCCTACTAGTTCCGTTCATTCAACATTTGTGCTTTTAACGTTTTTGCTTTAGGCCCAGCTTTGTGTCAGTTTGCTATAGGGGGTAAGAAGCCCCTGATCTGGGGAAAATTCCTCTCTCCTTCAGTTCTTTCTCCAGCTCTGACCCCATCTCCACCAGCTCTCACCAGTTGCTTGGATCTTGAGGGCATTCCCAGACTATCCTTACCAGCACCAAAATGACTGGGGATGGGGTGGGGGGTGGGAATCTGGATGGGGGGAGAAGGAAGCAGGGCAGGAGTTGGGAAAGATGCTGTCTCCCATTTCTTCTTCCTTGTGTCCTTTCACCCTCTGCTCTGGTACCACCCGTCTTTTTGATATTCCTCCATCTTGTTCCACTTCAATGCCTCTGTTCTGGCTGTTCTCTCTGTGTCTACCAGAGTCGTTTCCCTCAGATATATGCATGGCTCACATCCTCACTTCCATCAGCACACGCTGAGTCACATGGGGATCCTATTAAAGTGCAGATTCTGATTCACTGGTTCTGGGGTAGGGCCTGAGATTCTGCATTTCTAACAAGTGTCCATTTGACATCAGTCTGTAGACTACACTCTGGAACGCTTGATAGAATTGAGATGGTACCTATTTTCTTCTTTATCTTGATAGTTATTTACTTTCTTCTCATGATCTTTCTCTTCCAGAGTACATGTTTCATGACTGGAGAGACTACCTTACTTGATTTATTATCCTTGGCACCTAGTATGATGCTCAATACATAAAAATTACTCAACAAATGCTTATCAAGTGAATAAATCACATATGTTGTTGGAAATCAAAACTGGAATTTGGAATGCATTTTCCATTACAAACATTATTGTTACATTTAGGTACTTCACAGATTAAATCGATTTCTGTGCTCTGGCTTTAGAACCTTCTTACCTTGTGGAAAGTGGCTCAAGTAGGAGTAGAAACTCATAATTATGTTCAGAGTTCAACAAACTTATAAATAAATCATTGGAACCCAATCTTTCTATGGAGTTTCAGAGTGAGGCTGAACATAGCAGAGAAAGTTAGAAAACAACTACCAATAAATGATTATATAGGAACAAGCTATGTATATGTGCTGAGGGAACCAACAATTAAAGATCAATTATAAAAAGAAATAAACCTGATATAATTACTTGAATATAAACCCTGATATGGCAATTTTAGTGTCCCAGATTGACAAAGAAAACAAAACAAAACAGAAAACAGAATGCTTGTACTTCTTTTTCAAGTTTCTAGTGTATTAAATGTACCTCTGATGACTACTCAAAAACCCCAGGGGCCACAAGAGACACACTGTCTCCAGCTTCTATGGCCACTTTCAACCTGAGCGCTATTTATGTCTTCTATTGAATTATCATTGTGCTACCCTGGTGGTGGTATTTCCAGTGTGGTGTGTTTCTACTTGATATAAAATAAAAATCAACTTTACTTCAAGAATCAGTCACCATGCTTCAATACTTCAATCATTTGATCTTTGAAAAATAGACATGGCAAAAAACAAAGCACTCCTCCCTCCCGAGATGTTTTTAGTTGTGCCTAATTATAGAACTGGTACAGCGAAATTTTCTGGCTCCCTTCCCCTGAGACTCAAAGCCAGCATTGACAGTGCCACGAGATTTGATGCATACCTTCCACTAACAAATGAATAAGGAGTGAAATATACTGGAAATACTCAGTAAAAACAGAAGTGAAAGCTATGGCTAAATGAAGAAACATTCCTTCCCAAGTCTGCTTATGATCGTCATGGTCTAGTTTTCTTTCTCGAACCACACATGGAAGAGCTCTTAAAATTGCTGTCAAAAGGGAAAGGGGGAGATTCTAGGAGGATTCCCTGTGGTTTCAGCGATTTATATCCGCATATTTGAAGAATACTACCTAAATGGAGATGGAATCCTCATGTATTCAGTGTTAGATTGTACTCAGGTATACTCTACCCTTGATCCCCCCTTTTTGGGGTCATCACACCCAACTCTGCTGCCTGGAATGTCAGCTGTTGGTATTCCTTACTAGGAATTGCTTTTGGCCTCAGAAAAACTCTTTCAAGGTCTCCCTTTCACCCCACTAGGCATCCCAAAGCTGGACAGTGACTGGCTGGTTCCCGAATACAAAGGCCACCCCTCTCCCTGCGATTCAGGATAGCCCACAGGGCCAGCCCAGCTCTAAGGCTCCCAGGGATGTGGCTGAGGCCTCTGTTGTGGTAAAATGACCCTTAACCTTGTTCACTGCCTACTCCCGTGTACCTTTCTTTGTCATGGGTGTATCTCTGGAGAACACACCCCAGTATATATTTGTCATCCAGCAATATGGATCAGAATCTGTTTGCAAGGAACCTACTCTAAGGCATTTTGCATAGTAAATAAGACTACGGTTTATTCCTATTTCATAACTGCAGCGATTTTTTCCTTATATCCAGAGATCACCTCACTGTTGTGCTTCTGAGCAAACGGCTATGGCCAAAGAGCATGTGATTCCGCATACTTACAGGCTCCCACAGCCGTCAGGCCAGGAGCTGGGCCAGGCTGCTTTGCCTTGAGCTCTTGAAGTAAGTGGGTTACCGCCTTCCAATCGGAGCTCAGATCTTCAACCTTTCTCTGTAACAGAAAAACACACATGTTATTTATTTGATTAACACCTTGAAGATTACTTAATTCATGATGTTATTAATTCATTTTGTGAATTCATTATTGTATTTCTATTGTATTTTACTTCTAAATTAATTTTTCTGGGTAGAACTCCTTGTGTAGATATTATAATTATTTTAGCCAACCACCTTACAAATATTTATTGATTGTTTGCTGCATTCAGGCTCTTGCTCCAGGCACAGTTTCACTGAAAGGAAGTAGAGTGCAAACCTTAATGAGAGGAAAACAAACACACAAACAAAAACATGGTCACCTCAGCAATTGTCTTGACCCTCTTAAACAGTATCTAGTGCGTCTGCATAGGGGAATTATCCAGCATATATTAAAAGATATCATGATGTTGCGGTTCACCCCAGATCAATTATACTAGAGCCTCTTGAAGCAAGAGGGTATAGTACACTTGGGGATATGACACTCAAGAGTTCACTTCAAGGAAGGACACTTGTCCCAAATGGTGGAAAAGATGTCAGTGGTCCTTTAGGGACTGTCTCGGCTGCAGAGAGCTGCCTTGTGCAAGAGCATGCCCTTCCCAGGACAGCCCTCATTCAAGGACTGATCAAGGGGATAGTATAAAGGACCAGCCAATTTTGCTTGAAGCAGGACAACTGTGAAGTGTCATTTCAGCTCTAGAGCTCCCAGTGGAGTCACCAAGCCTGTATATGGCCAGTAGTGTGCTGGTGTATGTTAAACAACCAGCTCTCTGGAAAAAACAATCCTAATTTTTGTGTTTGCCAATGTCAGTGGTGTAAACACCCTTACACTAGCCAATTCTGAGTTACAAAGGTGTCCAAGGGCTCATAAAATGCTGGAAAATGTGACAATAGACACTCATGAGCAGATGCAAGCTGGCCTCAGTACACCAGTGGTTAGCCATATAGTTACTAACTGCCCTCAAAATGTGAACAGAAGTCATACATGTTGGTTCTGGGCTGAGGCTTTTACAAGTTGAGTGAGACTTCCCTACCTGCTACTGGCTAGAAGCCAAGGTCACTAGGGTCCTAGGGAAAACTTTCTCAATGGATTGGGGTGAGGATTCATCCTAATGGCCTGGAGCAGCAGTGCTCATGCTTTGAAAGCATCAGAGTCCCCTGGAGGCTTTGCAAAACCAGGATAGCTGGGTCCCAGCCCCAGAGTTCTAGATTCAGTAGATCTTGGATGGGACCTGAGAATTTGCATTTCTCACAATATTCTAGTTGATGTTGATGCAGATTGTCTGAAACCAAAACCTAAGGTGATCATTCTACCTAATGAGTTATCTAGTATCTCCAATGGACTAGGTAGATAAGCACCATTCTTGAAAGAAATAAGAAAACAGGCCTCTACTTCATTTTCTATAAGACATAATTCTCTTAAGAAATCCCATTTGAGAAAAACTGACCAGGAATAAATACTAAAACTACTACTAAAAATTCAACACTTCCTAATTTATATCATCTATGCTTTTGTGGTTCTTTATGTCTATTTTACCTGACACGATAGCAAATCAGGGCTTTTAATTTTTTTTTTTTTTAGTCCACAGTTCATGTTGTTGAACATTTACTCTCACATCAATGAACGTAACTCTTTATTTATTAAAACATAAGCCTTGAATCCAAAAGCAAACAAACCATGCCTCTGATCAGTGAGGGAAACTACCATTGAAAGTCATGACACGTAGAAGATATTTCTCCATTCTGACCTCAGAGCTAAATGCTGAGAATTAAGTGTGATAAAAGGCTAATGAATTAAAACATATGTGGTCTCCTGATCCCCTTGCAAAGTTGCAGTGACTTCACAAGGACAGAATATTAAGAAAAACCATGCTGATAACAAAAAGTGGCAATAGATAGTAGGGAGGAGATAATAAAAGCAGATATTTAGAAAATGGAGTGGTCTTGGTCATTTATGGAAGGGATAACAGGGCAACATATGGCAAAGTCTCATCATACATCATTTAACTTACAGGAAGTCATCTATATGTGCTAAGATAGAGAGTTAGAGATTACAGATTGCTTTAAAGACTGCTAGGATCTGCCTGCTCTTTCACTCAATAAACGTATGACTGAGGAGTGGCCAAGGAGAGATGGGAGTTTTCTGTTCCTATGGTTGTCTTAGGTGCCACTCTTCTCATAGCATAAGCTTCTCACTGCAATGAGATTGCTTCTAATATTTAAAGATTATATTTTTATCTTACAACCTGGCTTCTAAATGCAAATTAACTACTTCATCTGGCTCTCAGCTGAATGAACAGTGATCTGTGTTCAACTTCATAGTCCACGTGAATCAGCATATAACAGAACAGAACAGTAATTGATACAAGATGGCCCTGAAAATCAAGAAAAATTTAAATTCCATTGTGCTTTAGAATCAGAAGTCCTGGTTTTCAGTCTTAACTCATCACTACAGCTTATGTGATCGTTGGCAAATCATATAGGCCATTTAGATTTATCGTCCTTGAAACGTGGATATAACACTACCACCTAACTCATAGCTTTGTTGGAGAAACTAAATGAGATATTTTATGAGAAAAGAACTCTGTGAACTGCAAAGTACTATAAAATTGTTGGTTAGTTATTATGCACTACTTAATGAAGCAAAGCAAAAGATGTTCAATAAAAATTTTCATTAAATTATTAAAATAAAAAATATTTCAATGCTTAAAGGACTAGATTTTGGTTCTCCTAAAAATAACTTGTTTATATATTCAATTCCCTTTTATTAATACATACATTCTGAATAGTCCATTCATTTGTTCAAATGTTATCTTGGCCACTGTTATTTTTCCAGACGGGTAAATGTGTTACTATAATTTCAAATGTAGAAATTTAAAAAAATTAGGTAGCACCCCCACTGGGCCACACACATCTGGGGATAGTGCATAGTGTCACAAATGCTGTAAGCTCAGAATTGTATACTCCCCAAAGTTTCATAATGACTAGCAAATGACATCACATAGAACGGCTACAGGTTTTGATTCAGCTGGTCACAGAAAAACACTCTCACAACTTCTTCAACTATCTCATGTACTTTAGAGTTGAATTCGATTATTTACATATTATGGAAGTTTTGGTTGGTTGTTTGGTTTGGTTTTGCTTTTTGATACTCTGGCAAGTACTCATATTTTCTGCTCTCACATCTTTGATCTTAGGCCGTAAACTTCTTTGAGGTAGCAAAACACGTTGGGTTGCAGCAAGTATTGTGGTCTTCGACACATAACATACTTGAAGCAGTACTCATTGCAAATCTACCAAAGGTCACGGTTTCCTCATCTTGTTAATAATCTTTGGCCCAATTTGAGGGTATAAAATATATGTCTAAATGTTAACATCTTTAAATATAAAATCAATGGAATAATAGCTATTGAGTTGTGTTCTTTTTTAAGTTTATTTATTTATTTTGAGAGAGAGAGAGCGAGCAAAAAAGCAAGCAAGAGCTAGCATGTGCACAACCAAGCAGGGGAAAGACACAGAAAGAATCCCAACCAGGCTCTGCCTGGTTAGCCAGGAGCCCCATGTAGGGCTCAAACTCACAAACAGTGAGATCATGACTTGAGCCAAAATGAAGAGTTGGAGGCTTACTCAAGGGAGCCACCCAGGCACCTTTCAAGTCCCGTTCATGATTAGATTTACAGAATTTAAAACTTTTAGGGTGCCTGGGTGGTTCAGTCAGTTGAGCATCTGACTTTGGCTCAGGTCATGATCTCACGGTTCGTGGGTTCGAACCCGGCGTTGGGCTCTGCACCTACAGTTAGCTCAGAGCCTGGAGGTTGTCTTCGGATTCTGTGTCTCCCTCTCTCTCTGACCCTCCCCTGCTCACGCTGTCTGTCTCTATCTCTCTCTCAAAAATAAATAAAACATATAAAAAAACCCACCTTTTGAAAAAGCTAAGTAAATACAGATCTTAGGCTTTTCCCATAACTGTAGCAGATTTATATTTTACTTAAAGGGAGAAACTTCGAGAGCAACTTTTAAAAATGGCAAACTGAGTTTCATTAGGTGGGGCTTTTGCAGCTGAGCATTGTTTTCTGTTGTATATAATTTGCTTGGAAACAGTCATTAGGGTTAAGACAATTATAACAATGTGAAAAGTATTCTTTATTAAGAGCAGAAATTAATTACAAGAAAACAAGATTTGCGAATATAGCTTTCCTTTTTATTTTAAATTGGAATATGGCTTTAAACTCTATGTGAGTTTGGGATTTTCAAAATTTAACAGTCTTGTATCTTTCTCCTGTGTCAATATTTGGCATGAAATTAATATCTGCTACATAAATAAATGAATCCAACCATGGCTCTATATACACAGACATGCATGTGAGTGTTATAATTGAAACATCTATGTTTCTTTGTCTGTCTTTATAAATGCAGTTAGTACAGTTGAGGGTCAGGGTGAAATTCCAATCTGCAAATGCTTGCCCCGTTCCAGCATGAGCTATTGAGTAAGCCTAAATTGAGACTTTCCCTCCAAATATGTCCTCAGAAAAATGTTGACTCCAATTCAATCCTCATAATGTCTTTTCTGTCTCATTTGTTTTACTTTGAACAAAAAAAGCTGCATAGTAGCCGGCAGTAACCTCAAGTGATAGGAATCTGCGATGCTTATAGAAGTCATCTGACAGAATTGGTTAATAATAATTTTTTTAAAAGGTGAAGTTGGTAAACCATTATCAATTATTCCTAGGGTATACCCCCACACTTACCAGTGGTGAAGACCACTGTAAACAAGTCTAGAAAAGCAAACTAATAAGTTACTCTGATGGGGTGATCAATAATACATATCTAAGAAAAATGAAAAGATTCTCTTTCCTAATATCCTAATATCTTGTGAATGGGTAGTGAGCTTGGGGATAAAAGTTCTAGTGATAACACTGAGGAGGTAAAAAAAAAATGTCCCTTTTGGTAGTTGGCAGCTGGCTAGGCATGATGGCCCTGATTGAACATAAAGAACAGAGAAAATAAACTAGACACACA